TTATTATTATTATTATTATTATTATTATTATTATTATTATTATTATTATTATTATTATTATTATTATTATCATCATCATCATCATCATCATCATCATCATCATCATCATCATCATTATCATCTTGTATTCTCTTAAAATGGGGGTATGCTTTATTTTGTATATTTTCTGGGTAAACTGCCCAAAATTTGAATTGTGGCAGCATTGAAATATGTTTAATAAATAGAAAAAATAAACAGATAATCTGCCTGCAGAATACAGAAATCAAGCTCTGTGTGTCTGTGTCCAGCCAGCCAACCCAGAAGTAAGATTGCCCTATGGTTACAAATAAATAAAATAATCAAATTTAGAAACCGCCCATTTTACTCTTAAGTCTTAAATCTTAAGTCTTACCCTCCTTCTAAGACTTTTCCTAGCCTTGAAATTGAATTTCCCAGAGTTTATACAGCAAAAGAACAATGCTGGTTCTATTGCCACCTTTAAGCCTTAACATCATATCTGATTTGTTGGTATTTGGGGAAAGAAATCACTGTAAATTAAGACATAATATTATTCTATAATATTCTATTATATTTAACATTCCACTTCACTATATTTTTTTCCAGATAGACACAATGCTGTGTCTCCAGATTTTGAGTCCCAGTGCAATACTCATGGACAATATGTGCTTAGCATCATCTGCCAGAATCCTTGTCCTACCTTATTTATTTATTAGATTCTTTTAATTATTAAAAAGGAAGCCAGTATATGCAAAGGGAAGCACCAGCTTGAAATGTAATCTTTATTTACAAGAATGTCTCTGGGCTCCACATAAACTCATTCTTTGTAATTAAGCGTATACTGTGTTCTGCACTTTATTTAGAATAATACCTTGTAGGAAAAAAAGCTTTCATTTTTTTCTATCAACTTTCATTTCATTCAATGAAAAGGAATTTGCTTTCAAAATTCTTTCAGAGAAGATAATTTTGATAAAATGTGGGTGGAAGGTGATAGTTGGACATTGATTTGGTAATTTGTGAGAGAGAATGTCTCTCACAATGCCTACATCTTCCTGGATTCCTGGGCTTCCTGTAAATCTTACAGGCTTTTCAGATGATGAAATGCAGGCAGGAAGGGAGTGGGGGGCACCAGTGTAGTGGAAAGATTAATAAATGAGAACAACAGTAATAGCATTTGCTGCCTCTCAATTCTATGAGCTCAGAAATACTATCAAGACAATTCTGAAAACAAGCACCCTGAGAATAAGACCCCCCCCCAAAAAAAATCAGGTCTCTTTTATTGGCCAAGAAAGCTTTTGAAAAATCATAAAGCAGATTTCAACAGTGCCGAAAATGTGCTGACATATCCAGAAATAAAACTATTTGTTAAGATGATTGAGAGTACTTAGAAAGGATGGTTGAGAGCAATCTCACCAGTTTGCTTTCTGGTGTTTTGTGACCATCTAGGGCTATTTGTGAGCTTAAAAATCTGAGAGTGCTTCCTGATAAAGGGAAAATCCCAACAATTAAAGAATTACAATGGGCGGGTCCAGGAAGAGACCCCTCTTTGCAGTTGCCCCTGCTGATGCCCTGCCCTTTGGAACATTGTCTCTCCCCCCCCCCCAGAGGTGAAAGTGGACCACAAGTGGAAAGGTTTGAAAACATGGCACTGTTGTCTTGCTTGGGACTCACATATGAGCATGCAACCACAGGGCTTGTTAGCATCCTGAAGGCTCTCCCGTGTTAATGATGAATTTTGAACATCTTTGCCTCTTTTTAAAATGTATATACAGTTTTTATGTTTTAGCAGTTTACTTGTACATCACTCAGAGTCCCTCTGAAGGAGATGAATGGTTTCTAAACTTGATAGATAAAAATAAAAACTGAGGATCCCTGTTGTAATTGAATTTTCATTTCAATTTTTAGCTTTCTCTCCATATTGCTCAAAAAGAGTGGGTTCTCTTATGCCAGTTTTTCAAACCTTGCTTTATACCTGGACTAGATTGCATCAGTTTTAGCTGGGTACCCGATGGTGCATCTTTGCTAACAATGGCTCTCTTCACTGGTATCTATGGTGTTTTTTAAAATCTGGTTTTATTCAGAAAATAAGTGTTGCAATTGTTAGACCTCTAAATATTAAACAGTCCTTTAGCAGTCATTTTCCAGATCTATCAACTAATAAAAAATGTTGGTTAATTAACCATTTTGGGCATTGTTTCAGAGTATTTGTGAGCTAGAGCACTATAATTTGTCAACCTGTAAAATGCTGAAGTATATTAGTTTAGCTTCTAGCCCATTAACTTTCTTTTGACTTTATTTAACAGCTGTAAGTAAAGTGGTCAGAAATTCATGAGATATCATGCATCTTTCAAAATCTCTGTGCTTCTGACTGTCAGACCTGCCCCAGCTGGGTCACTCCTCAGGAAAGAAAGACCTTCGATTCCATTTGATTTGAAGTGATAGGCTCTTTTAATAAAGGGTGCTGGTTGCAGTAAAGTTAGGCTAGAATTAAATTTCACACACGAAAACATTACAAAGGTTTCCCCTCATTCCAGCCCTCTTGCAGCCAATGAAGAGCTGCATAGGTGTTTCGAGAAATGCTGAGATGTTTGGGTTAGTCCATATTCCACTCTCATGGTGTGTGTCCTTGAGCGCTGGCACAAACTGATTCTGTGCTTCCCTGGTCTTTGTCAGTTGTCATTCCCCCTCCCATTTCCCCATCACATCCCCATACACTTTTATTGCCCATTTGTTCTCTCCACACTCCCTCTTCTCTAGTCCTTGATGGCAGGATGCCAGTGAGGCGCCAAGCCGAAGATGGCAGACCAGACACTGACCATTTTTAATTCTTTTAAGAAATACTTTTTAAATTTTGGAGGTCAGACTCTCTCTCAAATGGCATTAGTGTTGCTAGCCTATTTTAAAACAGTATCTTCCTTCCTCTTCTCTCCCCTCCCCTTTCTCTCCCTTCCCTTCTCTTCTTTTTTGTCCCCAACTTTGTATCCGAATTTGCAAATAGTGTACATCTCACTATTGAACTGCTGCATTGCTGGATCAGCTTCCCCCAATTTGATGCCTTCCATTTATATTGGACTTCAGCTTCCATAATACTCCAAGCAAGCATGGCAATGCTGGAAGGCCTGAGATGCAATGGCTGACTGTAATAAAAATAATGTTCACTGCAGAATTTGATATGCTTTGCTCTTTATAGTAACTCTCCTACCTTAAGCACAATTTGCTATATAGTTGTTGATAAATATTTTGGGCAACAGCATTCTGCTCTATGCATTTCAATACTTTCATTCTGGCTGAAGTGTCAAATATTTGTTCGGATTGCAATGATGTTCAGCTTCTCAGAGCTTAGACATGTCACGGTTGACAAGGGCACTGCCCTGATTGATACCTGTCTCACCTCTGATGGGAACCAGAAGGAAAATATTAGCCGATATCAAAGGACCAGGAAGTTTCTTTGTAATACTGTAAAATGGGAATATTCTGTTTTATTCAAAGGAGATTCATTTATAATTGGTTGAAATTTCAGTTTATTGTGAGTAAATAGCTTTGCATATTTCCATGATATATATTACTTTCTTATTCTAGGGTTTAAAATTAACATCTTGCTGTAAATTGTAGGAAAACTCTCAAAAACTGTGGCTCTGGTGTTAGTTTCCTAATGTCTAAATCATTTGGAGATTTATTGCAATATGTCAGCATCTTTTAAAATAATATATCATTTTTGTCTACATCACTATAAATTCTGTTTTGTGATTTTTAACCATTTGTTATCTTTTGGAAGCTTTAGATATAAAGAATTTTTTTTCACATAAAATATACTGTAAAATAAACCCATAAGTAATTTATATCCTATGTTCATTTCATACGTAACATTGAAATTGTGAAGGGTTGTGCAATAAAGTTTTTGCTGAAGTCCTATTACATCAAGAGATTTAGAATGCCTGTCTACTTTGAAATAAATCCTTCTGCATTCAGTAGAGCTTATTCTCATATGTTTACTTGAAAATAGGTGTTGTGAACTCAGTGGTATTATTTCTGAGTAGATATACATTTCTTTATTTCCATGGTGATTATTGTGTCTATAGTGAGTATAGTCAGAAGGGCAATAATTCCTTCTGTTTAACTATATGCAAAACTGATAATAATCAGGCTTGTATACTGCTTTTCCACAGGTTTGGGGTTTGTGTGAGTGTGTAAATCTCCACACTGCATTTCATCAGGAGAGATCATGATCAAATTTGTTTCAGATTATGAATTGCTGTCAAATCATAATTTAACAGAGTTTCATGAAACAGGGACTATTAGGAAACATCTTTTCCTTATCCTGTGTGGAAAAAGGAAGAGCACAGAAGTTTGTGTCTTATTCAGACTCTGCAATATTTCATGGTTTACCTTGGACCTGAAAAGAACCATCCGTGAGGTTTTGAAAAATCAAAAAGGCAAGGAAAAGTTTTTGCATGGATATGTTGTTGAATAAGGAAGAAAAATATACAGTTTGGTAGTTGTATTGAGATGAAGCATTTTCTTCAACATGGGATTATGGATTTATTTATGGAAATATATATTCATGTTTCTCGACAGCCTGTCTCCCTCATAGTTTGAACAGTTGGGAGAGGACCAAAAAATATCACACTGAAGTAAAACCGGACACTAGAAAAAAGTAAAAGTAGTGAATCACTGCAGTTGTTAAGTCAGTAACGGAGTGGTCAGTGGGGAGCCAGATTCACTTAACAACTGTGATACTGACTTAGCAACTCCAGTTATTCATTTAACAGCCGTGGCAAGAAAGGTCGTAAGGTGGAGCAAAATTCACTTAACAAATGTCTCATTTAGCAACAGAAATTTTGGGCTCAGTTGTCATAAGTTGAAGACTACTCGTACAGCTTATAATTGGGTTTAAAGCATGTAATCACAAATTCTAAATTGCTAATGGCCCTTTTCATTGGGTAACAGAATAGCAATAAAACTAATAACAATGTATTTTGTTTTATTTACATATTTAATGTCAGAATTCTTTAAATCAGTTTCTTACAAAACTGGAAGAGGAGAAGAAAAGTCTCCAGAATCAGCTGAAGGAGTATGAACTTAGACTTGATCAAGAAGCAAAGGTCTGTATTCTCTACTATAGTTCTTCTAAAATACATCCATCTTAAGGTGCTTCATGGTCGCCTGTTATATTGATGAAAAGTATAATACACACACACATGCATGCATCCATCCTGGACTATGCTTAATGTCTAATTTTCTGTTTTGTTCACTTATTTGTTCTTTTGGAACTTAGGCTTATCATAAAGCCAATGATGAACGCCGTGCATACTTAGCAATGATTTCACAAGTAAGTCTAAAAATCTCTAGAATGATTTAAAAAAATGTTTTGTCCTAAACCAATCATTACTCTTTTCTTTTTGGACTTTCCTCATCTATTTTAAGCTGATTCACCTCCTGGCCAGAAAATTCTGCAAAGCTGACTCAGCTAGAATGCTGAAGGGAAATGTTAATCAGTCTTGCCATTTTCTTTCTGCCCTTATAAACTTAAAGATTGGATATATGATGCTACTGATCCTTAACTCTTAACTAAACTGTGTATTGCATTAAAGTATATTACTTGTACACTCATAAATTTAATTGCTCATTATTCTTCTGCCCCTGGTTCTTTTTTCCCCAAGTCTATTAAAATTAGCGGAAGCATTGCATCTATACAAGAGCACCATGTTGTGGAACATAAACTATTTAATGAATTTATAAATGTAATTTTGTTGAGGGATTGCTTCAGATTACAAGTAAGAATAAATTCACCTATCTTACCTATCACCAGCCATGGGAAAGGTTAATCAAATTTGTTTATTTGTTGGTTTACTAGACTTATATACCATTCCAGTCACAACTGACTCTTAGTAGCATTAACAATATAATGTAGTATTTTGAGCAATAGGTTTTAATTGTGGAAAGCTGGAGATTTGAAAAATATTCAGGCTTGCGTGTACTTTCTTTCTTGTATTGTTTGCAATGCTTATGCTTTAAATGTACACATAAATGAAAATAAAAAAAATATCTTGGGACTTTCTAAAAATTAGCAAATATATTATCGTATTTATTCTTATGAATCATAACCTATTTCAATAGATGCACAAGTCTAGTTTTCAAAAATATCTATGCACACAACTGCTATAGAAGGAGGGAAGGAAAATTGGAGAGGCAAAATTATTTCAGTGACCGTAAATAAAGCAGTAGGTAGTTATAACTATCACATTCATATGTTATGCAATTTTATTATTTTATTTATTATGCTTTTATAGGATATTTTTTCCAGAGAATTCTTTAGTAGTGGTGATCAGACCCTCTATTAACAATACCAGAGACAGCTGAGGCTACTTAAAAAGGATTGGATATGCAATTTCTTCATAGACTTTTGCAAATTATAATATACTTATGATTGGTGTACTAAAATTAGTAATTGATTGCAATAACATATTTGATTGGATATGGCACAATATGATGTATTCAGTGAGGGCAGAAAGATGAGATAATGTAGCAATAATACAAAAATACTTACTAATTGAGTTTGACTAAGGCCATGTTCTTTCAACAAAATTGCTATTGATCAATTCTTTTATTTCCCAGGGATCTTGTTTATCAGTACTGTTTTTGTCTGTTAAAGTCCTAATCTATGTTCCTAGTGTTGAACTGAGCTGACAGTAATTTTCTCTGGAAAAATGGAGACAGGGAACAAGGCGACTTTCTTGTCTTCACTAACACCATACTTTATATTCCATTTATGTCCTATTTCAAACATAACTAATTTTGAGCAGTTTATAGACCTTTAATAGGATGAAAGCTGTTTCATCAGCATAAATACTTGTATGTAAGAGATTTACCCATCAGAGGAATACAACCCCCCTTACTCTAAAGATTTACTGAAAAAGCCAAAAGAAGTGGAACCTATCTGATGTCAGGAACAATGCTATTCTAGATGGGTGGCTCAGTGAATAAGAGGACCTGAGCCCAAGATCCCTACAAGTGGCACTTCCTAAACATCAGGATTTGGAGTTAGCTCTTTCTTTCAACTCTTGATAGATGAGCAATGATTTGGGGGAATAGATGACCCATAGATAACCAGGTTCTGAACTGGAGAAGATTCATAACATGCTAACTCTAATTATTATAACACCATGATGTCATTTGTTATTGCTTAATACAAGCCTACTAACTTAATTGTGGAAAGAAACTTACTTTATTCATGGTATGTCAAATTTTTCAAAGGCAGATAAGTTCAGGAAACAACGCTGGATTTAAAAAAAAACCTTTAGAAAAGATTTTGTATTAGTAGTTGGATACTCTAAAAGAAAACCTGTTAAAACTATTATACAACTCAATTTCTCATGCTTCCCCCTTTCACTTGTTTGAGGTTCTTATTTGCAACGATCCTGATTCTTCCATATTTACAAACCACCTACACATTACTCTCAGCGTGGATTGTAGATATTGATTATAGAGTATATTTAATTATATTAACTAGGAGCAGTAAATAATCCTTTCAACCAATATTCCCATGTTTCTGGTTCTTATTGGAAATATCCATTCTCTACTAATACAACTGAAGTGAAATTAATATCCCCGTGTCTGAAGTCCAACATGCAATTTTGTTTTGTACCAGATTCCTTCAATATCAAACTGATGTGTGGGTGTACTTTAATCACATTTTCAAACCCTTTCTATAGCTAGAATTCTTCAGTTTGCCAACCTGAGTAGTGTAGAGATAGATTTAAAGTTTTCTGTTTTATGAGAAAATGAATAAACAGTAGTATCTAAGTTTTTCTTGTAATTGGAATGTTTTCTTATTGTTCAAAATTATAGATCTATAGCCTAATAATATTTTTCATCATGAATCAGTAAGCCTCTGAGTAATATTGTTCATGCACACATGTTTGTGTGTGTGTATGTATATGTGTGTGTGTATTATTGTGTAATAGATAAGATATACTTTGTTTTCTATTGTCTCAAAGAAATTGTTCCTTAAATAGTGTTAAAAGAAAATAAAGATACTGTATTTTACCTCTATTACACAACTGTTATTCTTTTCATCATGTACTAGTCTAGGAAGAAGGCTACAATTAGCATGAATCCATGTATTTAAACCAGCTGGCAAATGGTTCATTCTGTATAATTATCTCTTGTCTTATAGAATGAGGTGCATTTGCTGAAAAACATTTCCATTTGTAAAACTTGCTCTTAGTACATTTGGATTTTGTAATAAATGTATATACATCGCAGAATGAAAAGAAAGAAAAAGGGAGAAATAAATTATTGTATCTTCTCTTTTTAAATTCTGCATTCAGTAAACACTTAACTATCATTGAAAGCATTTAGTTTAATCTGTGAACATTCCAATGCCTGAGCATTGGAAACTGGATTAATAGCTGATTGCTATTGAGATCTAAATAGGTTCCTTTTCATTCTTTTTCTTTTTATGTTTCTGTGTTCTGTTGTAAAAGGAAGTAGTTTTGCTCTCTATCTTCAACAGAAGGTGCTGTTAGTTTACATAGGTGTTTCTACTGCTTAACTTGCCTAGATGGTCTATAGCAGTTATTCCTTCTTTATTCTTAAACAAATCTTTCAATAATATCCTTTCAACTGATCCCAGAATGTGCAATGATATTTTTTTTATTTATATATGAAGTGCAATGTTGTTATTCCTTTTATTGGTTCTATTCATTTTAAATAAATTGTAACTTTGTGCCAATCATTGGTGTCATCTCAAAGTTTCAGTAACGCCTATGACATCAAATTTGTTTTCCTAAATTAGGATTGCTAGTCCTCTGTATTTCCTAAACTCTGTTCATTGGTATGAGGTTTTGAGTGCCAATCTGTTATAATGTCCTCTAAACTGAACTGATCCTCATCTAGTGCTTATCTCTTTGTGTTCTTTTTTGGCCCTGGTCCTTGGCTGTATTTCAATTTGGCACTTTACTCCTGACATTGTAGTGAGCCCCTGCAAAATACTCCCTTTATTTTAATAAAAGGTATCTCAATTCTTCCCAGTAGTATTTCATGAAAGTAGCATAGGCCATTGAGTAGAATCCAAACCTATATTGGCAACTTCAGTTGTTTTTGCTTCTTGCTCTATGGCCTTCATTATCTTCTACATCCAAGTTCATGATTGGGGCGTATTTGAGCTAGTCCTTTGTAATATCCTGCAAACATTATAAAATGTACCACATATTTTAATGCAATTTTTGGATCATAGTTCAAATACTAATGAAATATACCTACTATGTTGGTAGAGGCAGCCTTTAAAAACCAAGCACTCTGGCCAGATATTATAGATTTCTTTCTCCTTGACTGTGAACATACTTTTTAACCCTTGTAATTCCAAACCATTAGAGATGCAAATTATATGGGGGTGCTATTGGGGAAAGCTCACAAAGAGTAGGGCTTAACATATATTGACTTTTGCAGATATCAGGATCTCTAAAACCATTAGAGAAGCAGAAAATAGATGCAGTTGAAATGACGAGGGAGAACCAAGTTCTGAGGTAAATAGTTTTTATTACTGGTTTAGTGGTTCTATTACTCATGCTAAGAGGTTGGACTAGTAGCAGGGTGACACATCTCCAAGTTAGCCCAGTCTATTTTGTAAATTATCTAACACTATTCACATAGCACATTAAGTCAGAAAGTGAATTGTTTTGTTTTGGTTATAGTTACCTATGGTTAACTATGGATGAAAAGAGATCAGATTCATCAGACTTCCTGTCCGAAGGTCATTGGAATGAGTTGTTATTTCTTAACCCAGTTGTCACAGGATATTGTTGTGGATTATAAAATTAGGGGAAAAATCATACATACATCCTTGTTAAAAATACAAAATAAACTTGAAGTAAATAAATAAATAAGCTCAATTATGTTTAATTCAGCAAACCATAATTTGAAAAACACAGATTAATACAGTGTGTACACTTTTTTTTTTAATTTTTAAAAAAAATTTATTGACAAAACAATTAAAACAAAAAGGGACATGACATGACGTTCCAGTATACATAATCCTAGTAATTCGTTTCTTATCATATTTAAAGTTCTAAATATACATCTCTCTACATATTAACACATAATTTTATATACCACAAATTTAAACTTTAACTCAAAACCCGACCAGTTCTTCTTGACTCATACCAACAGTAAAATTTGTCCCAGATTCCAAAATAATCTGTTTCCGTCTTGTCCTTTAATTCCATAGTTAGCCTGTCCATGTCCGCACA